GCTTCCCTCTGCATCTAAAGTCTAGCACTTCCTCCACCTCATGCTTTCCCTCCCTGTTTACCGGTATGAAGGGGGGGGGTGCTGCCTGTGCAAGCAGAGGGCGGGGTGTGTGTGTGTGTGCCTCTTTCACTAGCAAAGGCTGATAGAATACAGGGCGAACCTTCATTGATGCTGGCAACTGCAACTGGAATGCAACTGGGTTTATTTGCTTAATCACTGGGAAGGGGCCAATACATTTTGAGTCCAGTTTCCTGGAAGGCCTCACAGAAGTCAAAAACTTTGTAGAAAGCCACACCAAAACCCCTTCTGCAATTCTAGCTCTCTTTTGTCTGTGTGCATCTGCTGCTTTTTTGTATGTTTTTGCTATTTCCAGCTGTTCCTTTAAGAGGCTTTGGGCCTCTTGTGTAGGAAATCTGTGGCATGAGGAACAGCACTTTCTTTTCTGGTTGATGGCAAGATCCGTAAGTAGAATTCATAAGTTGCTTGGAATGGGGACATACATAGAGGAGTGTGCTGCACTGTTGTAAGCAAATTCAGCAAGAGGTATGAGGTCAGTCCAGTTGTCTTCCTGATATGAAATACAGCATCTTAAATGTTGCTGCAACAGTTGGTTAACCTCAGATTCTCCATTGGTTGCTGGATGATTTGAGGAAGACAAATGAATTTTAATATTTAATACATGCAAGAGGGCCTTGCAAAATTTGGAAGTGAACTGACTTCCTCCGTCTGAAACCACATGACTGACCAATTCTCTATATCTAAAAACGTGGTCCAAAAAGAGCTGAGCTGTTTCCTGGGCTGTTGGGAGACACTTGTGAGGAATAAAATGAGCCAGTTTGGTAAATAAATCTACTACTGTGAGAATGCTTGTATATCCCTGCACTGAGGGAAGATCAGTGATAAAATCTCAAGAAACAGTGTCCCAGGGCTGTGGTAGGGTCTCTAGTGGCTACAATAATCCAGGAAGCTTACCAAGAATTGATTTTGCTCCATGAAGGACATGACAAGAGGAAACATAACCCTTAATGTCTGCATGGACACATGGCCATGAGAACTCTCTGAGAACTCTATGTTGGCTTTTAAACATCCCCCCATGTCCTGCTGTTTTGTTGTCATGGCACAGCTGTAGTACCTCTTCCCTTGGTGGTGCAGATGGCCCCCCTCCCAGGATTGATGCTGCTGGCATTTAGGGGAGGGGAATGAGAGTGTCCCACTGTACATCTGGATCGTGTAGGTGAAGCCACTCGATTCCCAAGATGATGGGCACTTGCAAGGAAGCAGTCAGGTACAGTGTTATGAACTGGGTGTGATCTTTGTTTGTCAACTGCAAAGGGGCCATACACTGCAAAATTGGCCCTGCTCTTAGTGGCTGTCCATCAATCGTCTCAACTATCATTGGGCTTTCTAGAACTGGAGTAGGCAACTTTAGTTTCTCTACTTTCATCTACATCTATGAAATTAGTGGTTGCCCCCAAGTCTACAAGAGCAGAGAGTTCCACATTTTGCCTGGTATCTAGGATAACAAAAACAGGAGTAATTGGGTATGCTTGCCTGCTGCTGGCTGTCTGAGCTCTTCTTAAATGGTTGAGGGCCCTCCTTCAGAGCTCCTGGCGGGGGCAGCAAAGTTTCCCTGGTGTGCTGCTTTGTGGTGAGCTGGGAACTTGCTGTCTACGTGCTCTGTTGATTTACAAGTTCTGCATTTTGTTGCTGTGTCCCTTGTACCCAAAGTCATAATGCACATAATGTCACTTGCCCCCACTTGGCCCCTGCAGACATCCATGATCAGACTTTGATTCGCATTCTGCCATAATAGAGAAGGAAAATGTCAATAGTTTTTTGCTTGTTTAGACTGAAGGCCCTACGGCTCAAATGTGTGAAACTATTTCTCTTGGTTTCTCAGTTCTGCAAATCTGTCAAGGTTTTTCACACAGTACATGGATGCCAATGCACATTTCACTGAGCTCATGCATTTTGTTCCCCAATTTTTTGCCTACCACACACAGATACTGCAAACCATTTTCCTTAAGATAATGCACGGTTTGCACTTTGTTTCCAGGAATATTTATCTTTTTGTGCATTTTCCCTTAACTGGGGCATTCACAAGGGGTCAAAAAGGTAACGGCGATGGCCATGATGGTATGATTGAAATCCCATCCCATTTTTACCATCTAGCATCCCATTGTAAAAAATAGGGACAGTGTTTCAAGCACACAGCTGTGGCCACCATCTTTACCTTTTTTTGAGATTCCCTCACCCGACATTTGAATGACAGTTAAACTGTGGTTTCCGTACTGGTTTGAAAATATGAAATTAGATAAATTCAGTCAAATGCAGAGAGAATGAATTTCTCCCTCATGCCCATTATACATTACTGGGTGATCCAAGAGTTATGGGCATACTGTAGCAAGGATCTCCTTCGCCTGTGTTCTTCCTTTGCCATTCAAGGTTCCTTTAACTGGAGAATTTACTACAATGCAGAAAAAGTTTCTGGACAACCTCTCACATGGTGGAATACCCAGGACCATGCAACCGTCCCTCCAAATCTTCTTCTTCTTTGAATTTCTAAGGACAGGTGAGGAAGCATCAGAGGACAAGGGGAAATTTGCTGCATTGGAGAGAAATGGGTGGAAGGTCCCAGTTATACCAGAGGGAACAAAATC